CCCGCCCACGCCGCCTCACGCCCCGCCCTCACGCCGCCCTCACCGCCCGCCTCACGCGCCGCCCTGCACCGCCCCGCCCTCACGCCCGCCTCACGCCCCGCCGCACGGCCCCGCCCCACCGCCCGCCTCACGCCCCGCCCTTCAAACCGCCGCTCACGCCCCCCCAACCGCCGCCTCACGCCCAGCTCACGCCGCCCTCACGCCCCAGCCCTCACGGCCGCCCTCACCGGCCGCCTCACCCGCCCGCCCTCACGCCCAGCCGCACGCCCCGCCCTCACCGCCCCGCCCTCACCGCCCCCGCCCTCACCGCCCCGCCCACGCCGCCTTCACCGCCCCCCTTCACGGCCCCGCCCTCAACCGCCCCGCCTCACCGCCGCCCTTCACGCCAGCCCCACGGCCCGCCCCACCGCCCCGCCCTCACGCCCCGCCCCTCACGGCCCGCCTTCCACGGCCCCGCCTCACGCCCCCCCTCCACGCCCGCCCTCACCGCCCGCCCTCACGGCCCCCCACCGCCCCGCCCTCACCGCCCCGCTCCACGCCCCGCCCTTCACGCCCCCCCTTCACCGCCCCGCCTCACGCCCCCGCCCTCACGGCCCGCCCTTCACGCCCCGCTCAACCGCCCCGCCTCACGGCCGCCTCACCGCCCGGCGTCACCCCCCCGCCCTCACGCCCAGCCCTCACGGCGCCCGCCCTCACCGCCCGCCTCACGGCCCAGCCTCACGGCCCCGCCCTTCAACCGCCCCCTCACGGCCCCCCCTCAACGCCCGCCCTCACCGCCCCGCGCGCGAGCGCCCCGCGCCTCACGCCCCCTCACCCCCCCCCTCACGGCCCCGCCCGCACCGCCCCGCCCTCACCGCCCGCCGCGCACGGCCGCCCTCAGCCGCCCGGCGCGGCGACGGCGCCGTGCGCCGGTGCGCGCGCCCTCACCGCGCGCGGCCGCCACGGCCCCGCCCTTCACGCCGGCCGCCCGCAGCGCCCCGCCCTCACCGCCCCGCCCTTGCACGGGCGCGCGCGCGCACGCGCCGGCCGCGCACGGCGCCGCCCTCACGCCCCCCGCCGCACGCCCGCGCCGCAGCGCCGCGCCGCGCCTCACCGCCCGCCTCACCGCCCGCCCTCACGGCCGCTCCCCCGCGCTCACGCCCGCCCTCACGGCCCGCCGGCACGGCGCGCCCTCACGCCCCCCCTGCACGCCCGCCCTCACCGCCGCGCCCCGCGACTGGCCCGCCCTCACGGCCGCCCGCACGGCCCCCGCCTCACCGCCCCCTCACGCCCGCCCTCACGCCCCGCCGCACGCCCGCGCCTCACGCGCGCGCGCGCCGCACGGCCCCGCCCGCAAACCGCCCCGCGCCTCGAGCGCGCCGCCCGCTCACCGCCGCCCGCACGGCCCGCGCTCGTCCCGCCGCCACAGCGCCTTCGACGGCCTCCGGTCCGTCCGGAAAAGCAGGCAGGAGGGAACCTCCCAACCCCCTGGTTGTTCTGGCCACGGCAAGGCGATGGCCCCATCGCAGGGTCCGCGTCTGAGAGGACGCGCGGCCTGGCCTTGTGCTTCGCGCCCCGCACGCTGCCGAAGCGCCGAACGGGGCCCCTGCAAGCAGGCCTCTTCGCCAGGCCTCTCGCGCCCCCAGTTTCCTTTCCCCCTAGCCTCCAACACAAATTGTGACTTTGTTCTTGAACAGGCAAGTAATCCATTTAAAGGATCCACTAAGAACCTAAAGGAGCTTCAAATCACTTCCTTTTTTTTTGAGACAGAGTCTCACTCGTTGCCCGGGGGGTAGAGTGCCGGTGCGGTCAGCTCGCCACAGCAACCTCAAACTCCTGGGCGCAAGCGATCCTCCTGCCTCAGCTCCTGAGTAGCTTGGACTACAGCATGGCCCGCCACCACGCTCGGCTAAATATTATATATATATATATATACACACACACATATTAATATATATATACATATGCAGTATATTATATATGTTACAGTAATCTCTTTTTTTAGTAGAGAGCAGGGTCTGGCTTGCTTGCTGCAGCGGCTTGGGGCTCCTGAGCTCAAATGATCCGCCCGCCTCGGCCTCCCAGAGTGCTAGGATTACAGGCATGAGCCACTGTGCCCGCGGACAAATCACTTTCTTTGAACTATTGAAGCCCAGTAGAGCTCTCTGAGAGTATCAAGTACTCCATCATCAAGCCGACATAAACTGCCGAGCCTGTCTGGAACAGTTCGTCAGCCCTTTCTGTGCCCTTATGCGGGAGTCCTGCCTCCATCACTCTGGCAGGATTCTGCCAGTGACACTGCGATGTATTGATTTAACCCCTTTTCCTCTCTTTCTTGTTTCAGAGACAGGGTGTTGCTTCACACAGCCCAGGCTGGAGTGCAGTGGCATCATCATAGCTCACTGCAGCCTCAAACTCCCGGGCTCAAGCAACCCTCTCACCTAAGCCTCCTCAGTAGCTAGGACTACAGACATGTGCCACAACACTCTGCTAATTTTTTTATTTTTGTAGACATGGGGGCTCTCACTATGTTGCCCAGGCTGGCCTCAAACTCCTGGGCTCAAGTGATTTTCCTGCCTGGGCCTCCCAAAGTGCTGGGATTACAGGCATGAGCCGGCAGGCCCATTCATCCCCTCTTTGTAACTGGATCCATTGCCACGTGCCTGACTGCCCTTTGGTCACGCAGGCCAGAGCAGGAGAGGGCAGACCCGGAAAACACCTAGGCGGTGTGACCGCCCGGCTCCCACCAGGCATTCTTGCCGAGGTCAAACCTGAGTCAGATCGTGCTTCTTGATCTAATTGTGCCAATTCGCAGCAAATGCAGGGCAGACAGGGACATGTTAAACAGTGTTAGGAGACAATTACCAAAACCCAAAATGTGGGAAACCCTAAAGGACAAATGATTTGATAATTGAAATAAATTACAAGAAAAATTTTTAAAAAGACGAATTTTTAGATGGAAAGAGATTTTAAGGGGCCCGAATGGATACGATTTGGAACCCGATTCAAGCAAAGTATAAACAAAATATATGAGACAAACAGAAATTTGCATACCGTGTAATTGTGGTATTAAGGAATTGTGAGCTTTTTAGGTGTGACAACGGTAGTACGGTTGTGTGTGTGTAACTGGGACTTGCTAACCTGTCCCGTGGCGTGATGGGGAGGGACACAGATGTAACACGACTGGCTGTGAATTGAGGTTTTGCTATGGTTGGGTGATGGCCACTGTACAGATGGTCCTCTGTACTATTATTTGTATAAGTTTGAAATTCTCTATAATAAGAATAAATAAGGTCAGGTGTGGTGGCTCATGCCAATCTTAGCACTCTGGGAGGCCAAGGCAGGAGGATCTCTTGAGGTCAGGAGTTTAAGACCAGTCTGAGCAAGAGCAAGACCCTCTTCCCCCATGGCTCTACTAAAATAATAACAAAATTAGCCAGATTTGGTGGTGTGTGCCTCTAGTCCCACTCTGGAGGCTGAGGCAGGAGGATCCCAGGAGTTTGACGTTGCAGTAAGCTAGGATGACACCACTGCAATCCAGCTTAGGTGACAGAGTGAGGCCCTGTCTCAAAAAAAAAAAAAAAAAAAAAAAAAAGGGAATAAATTCTCATTGTAAGAAAAGGACAGGTGAAAGTCGAACATTAAAGTCACCAAAGGTTGTGGGCATGTGTTCTGAAGTATAGTGTATAGAGTAGACTGGAGGAAGGGAGCTGGGAAATGTGGGAAATTTGGAGCCCGCCTACATTTAATGTGATTTGAGGACTTCGAGAGTGCAAGAGTCCGAGTAGGGAAGTGGTGATGCAGGGTCAGAGTGTGGTAGAGGTGTTTGCAGTTCTATGCTTAGGACATCATAGCCTGAAGCTATGATGCATAAAGAAGTTTTAAGAAGGCAGAGAACCATTACACCGTAGGGAATGAACCAACTAAGGGTTAGGAAGGGGGAAAAGGAAGCCTGCTGAACTAAAAAAGGAGGTGATCAACTCAAGCCTCCACCTACAGTTTATTTTGTTTTATTAAACCATGAAAACATCTGTCAGATATGGAGCTACCTTTTACCCTTGCCACCTAGGGACTTTTAAAATTTGTCTTTTTCCAGTTAAGGTGAAAGAGTTCAGAACAAAGTATTTTAAGGACACAATCAGGCTCTGTCATCTCTGTAACTTGCAACACTAACTTCCCTTTGGAACTTGCACAATGCTGTTTTGAAATGGTTTCAAAAACTATTTAGACCTGGGGCTGGCGGTTAGGTCTATGCGCCCAACTCCACTCTGCACCCGGTTTGGGTGCACTAAAGTATTCTTGGCTGGACTCAAGTGGGAGGTGGCTGACGGCCCTGTTTCTCAAACCTTATTTTCAAGGACCTACACAGGGAGCCAGGCGGGAAAAATGTGATTTCCCAATGTTGCTCTGTATCCCGCCCACCACGGCCACGGGCACGGCCGAGTCGGAGCGCTCACCTCTCCAGCTCTCGTTCTCCCTCAGTTAGCCTGCGCAGTCATCGTGCTTCGTGCACACGGCAGAGTCTGTAGAAAGGATGCTATTTTAAACTTGGATTCTCACCCGCCTAGGAGTGCAACACCTTGTTTCACTGGTTGACTTACTCTACACAAATATGCTTGTAGCAAGAATGGAACACATGGATGACACAGAATGACACACAAACAGCCTCTCAGAGTCATTGGATTTAAACACAAAATGTTAGGAATCTGAATTTGATAGCTTTGAAAGAGACGAGTACAAAAGGGAGCATTACAGAACTGCTGGCCCAGAGTTCAAACACTTTACTATTGCAGTGCAGCACGCTACATTGCAATTATCTGTGTACATGTATGTCCCTCCCTAGACTTCATTTTAGATCAGGACTGCATGTTTGTTACCAGTATCTAGAAAACTGCCTGGCTCCTGGTGGATTCAAGCATGACGCAATCAGCGAACATAGGAATGAATGCACAAATAGCTCATGCAATCTTTTAGGATGTAGAAACCATAAATATAATTTAGATTCCAGCCATCCTTTCAAAAATTCCTTCTGAAAAAAAAACATCTTTTTTCATACTACCTGATAAGCATCTTGAACACCATGGCCACAGCAGCAGTAAAATGGGTGATAGCAAAGAGACCTATCTTGAAACATTTATTTCCAATCCCAAATGGAGCTTTATCTTGTGTTTGTCATAAATCTACATATTCTTCTCTACCAGATGACTATAATTGCAAAGTTGAGCTTGCTTTGACATCTGATGGCAGGACGATAGTATGCTACCATCCTTCGGTGGACATTCCATATGAACACACAAAACCTATCCCTCGACCAGATCCTGTGCATAATAATGAAGAAACACATGATCACATGCTAAAAACCAGATTAGCAGAAAAAAGTGAAAACCTTGAGCAAGGACCCATGATAGAACAACTTAGCAAAATGTTCTTTACTACTAAGCACCGTTGGTATCCTCGTGGACAGTATCACATTCGTCGTAAGAAACTGAATCCTCCAAAGGACAGATAATATTGAGGATCTCCAGGGAATCAGAGAGAAATGCCCCTCATTTGCCATTTGAGGAAATGTAATCTGGTGTATTCACTAATATACAGTAAAATAGTAATAATAAAATGTCTTTTCATATAAAAAAAAAAAAATTCCTTCAAAACAGAACACACATCAAACTCTCGCTCTTCGCTGATGATATGATGTTATATCTAGAAAACCCATGGATTTGTCCAAGAGACTCCTAGATTTGATAAATGAATTCAGTAAAGTCTCAGGTTACAAAATCAATATACACAAATCAGAGGCATTCATATATGCCAAGAACCGTCAAGCCGAAACTCAAATTAAAAATGCAATACCTTTTACTATAGCCCCAAAGAAAATTACATATCTAGGAATATATTTAACGAAAGATATGAAAGACTTATACAAGGAGAACTATGAAACACTAAAAAAAGAAATTGTAGAAGATGTAAACAGATGGAAAAATCTACCTTGTTTATGGATTGGTAAAATCAATATTGTTAAAATATCAATATTACCTAAAGTGATCTACAGAATAAATGCAATCCCCATCAAAGTACAACTACCATTCTTTGCAGATCTAGAAAAAATAATTCTTCACTCTGTATGGAACCAGAAAAAAAACCTCACATAGCCAAAGCAATCTTAAGTAAGAAGAACAAACTGAGAGGCATCAGTCTTCCTGACTTCAAGCTGTACTATAAAGCAATAATAATTAAATCAGCCTGGTACTAGTGCAAGAACAGAAGCATCGATCTTTGGAATAAGACTGAGATTCCAGAAATGAAACCATCTGCATATGGTAACCTAATCTTTGATAAAACAGACAAAAATACACATTGGGGAAAAGAATCTTCAATAAATGGTGCTGGGAAAACTGGATAGCTACATGAAGAAGAATGAATCAGGATCCCTACCTCTCACCTCTCACAAAAATCCACTCAAGATGGATAAAAGACTTAAACCTAAGGCATGAAACCTTAAGAATCCTAGAAGAAGATGTCGGGAAAACCCTTCCAGACATTGGCCTAGGCAAAGAATTCTTGAAGAAGACCCCCAAAGCAATCACCGCAGCAACAAAAATAAACAAATGGGATCTGATCAAATTAAAAAGCTTCTGCATAGCCAAGGAAACTACCATTAGAGCAAATAGACAACCTACAGAATGAGAGAAAATATTTGCTCTCTAACACTTCTGATAAAGGTCTGATAACAAGAATCTATCTAGAACTCAAAAGAATTAGCAAGAAAAAATCAAACAACCCCATCAAGAAGAAATGGGCAATACAAATGACAGAAACTTTCCCAAAGAAGACAGAATAATGGCCTGCAAACATATAAAAAAATGCTCAACATCTCTAATCATTAGAGAAATGCAAATCAAAACCACAATGAGATATCACCTAACCCCAGTGAGAATGGCCTGTATCAAGAAATCCCAAAACAACAAATGCTGGTGAGGATGTGGAGAGATAGGAACACTCTTACACTGCTGGTGGGACTGCAAATTAATGCAACCTTTGTGGAAAATAATTTGGAGATACCTCAGAGCTAAAAATAGAAATACCATTTGGCCCAGCAATAGCATTATTAGGTATCTACCCAAAAGAGCATAAGATATTCTATTATAAAGACATTTGCACCCAGATGTTTATGGCAGCACAATTCACTATTGCAAGGACGTGGAAACAACCTAAGTGCCCGTGAATTCATCAGTGGATTGTTAAAATTGGTATATGTTTATAATGGAATATTACTCAATTCTAAGAGAGCTAGCACCGCTTATATTATCCTGGATTAAGTTTAAGCCTGTTATCCAAAGTGAGGTGACTGACACAAGATAAGAAAAATGGGCACCACATGTACTCGCCATCACATTGGTACTGACTGATTATCAATATGGTGCTCAAAGGGTGGTGGTGTTCACCAGGGATTTGGGGGTTGGGGAGGTAGTCCCATATCTGAGGGATGTGTGAGCAGTGTGGAGGGGAAGGGCATACCTCTAATTTGCTAGGGAGAGGCAAAGATAGAAGATGTAACCAAAATGTTCATGCTTTCATATTTTCTTTTTAAAATATGAAATTTTCTTGAAATTAAACAAAAAAAAAAAACCCACATGAGATTCCAATGGCAATGAAATAGCTTTTCCTCACTAGCATCATGACTGAGGTAAATCAATTAGATAAATGAGGGGTACTCCTGCCCTCTCGTAATGGAAAGAAGAACAGCCACTATTCCAGAGACCACAAGGAAGAAAAGTAAAGACAGGTTGGCCTGTATTTCCTCCTGCATGGCAGTCTTTTTTTTTTTTTTTGAGACTCTTTTAACCCCCAGTACAGTGTAGTGGTGTCATCACAGCTCACTGTGACCTTGAACTCCTGGGCTCAAGCGATCCTCCTGCCTCAGCCTCCCGAGTAGCTGGGACCACAGGCATGCGCCACCATGCCCGGCTAACTTTTCTATTTGTGGTAGAGATGGGCTTTTGCTCAGGCTGGTCTCCAACTCCTGACCCTGCGGGCGGCCCCCAGAGTGCCAGCATTACAGGGGCGAGGCGCCGCCCTCGGGCTGGCGGGCTGGCGCAGGCTCCTCGGGGGCCCGCGCGTCTCCCTGGCGGCGCGGACAGGCGGAGACGCGCGTGGCAGGCGGAACCTGGGATTTCTCTGCACCTTCCTCTCAATTTTGCTGTGGAGCTAAAACTGCCCTTAAAAAGGTCTTTTAAAAAAATGACAAAAGTGAGAGCTTGCGAGGTCGCTGACTTGACGCCGGCGGGCGCTCCGGGCTGCGCTGCGCCCCGCGGCGACGGGAAGAAAGGGAGAGACACTTAAGGAGCAGCAGGTGCTGCTGTCTCAGAAGTGCAGGTGAGAGCAGAGCTGGCGGGTGCCCGCAAAGTCCCAAGGAGCCACCCGGCCACGCGAGGGGCAGCGGAGTGGGCGAGGCGGCACGCGCCCTGGCCTTCGTGCCCGCTGTCCCGCCGCCCGGCCCCGCCCGGCGCCCCTGCGCGCCCCCGCCGCCGCGCCCCCACCGCCCCCCTTCCCGCGCGCCGGCGCCCACGCCCCCTGCCGCGCCGCCCCTGTGCCCGCCTGCGCCGCCGCCCCTGCGCGCCCCGCCGAGCCCCGCCGCCGCCCTGCCCCGCCGCCCCCCGCCCCGGCGCGCCCGCGCCGCCCCCCCTGCCGTCTCGCTCGCGCGCTGTGCTCTGGGCGTCTTCAGCTGCCGCCCGTCCCTGAAGGCGCCCGTCCCAGGGCGAAGCGTGCCCTCGTGCCCCCCCGCGAGGCTCTCCCTCCGGCAGAAAGGCTCCGTCCGGGCAGCCCGCTACAGCGCGGTGCCGGCGCCGCCCGCGGGAGTCCCGCCACGCAGCGTAGGGCGGACGGCGCTGTATTTCTGCAAACAGCCACGTGGGTGCAGAGTATGAGTTATGCTCAAAAAACGCACACAGAACACACATGACATTTCGTTTCTCCAGAGTACAGCTGGAGACTGGAAAACATTATAAGGCAAAAATAAATACGGCTTCTACAACGATGCAATTGGTAGGATAAACTGATGCTGTAGATTTAAGAATTCTGACAGGATACAATCTATGTGTCACTGATACAAAACCATGTTTTCCCCATACTTTAGAAAAATAATTGTCAATAGTCATTGTTCTCAAACTGTCAGTAACCACTTAGGTTCACTGTGATATAATAATTATAATAATCATGTGCTTTAAGAATAGAAAATGACACAAAATATACAAAGTATATAAAGAACAGTTTGGTCCTAGCTCATGGGTGCTCAAATGGAGGCATTTTGGAAGGCTGTAAGAGCATGAATTATAAGGAGGTAGAAGGCACAGGTTAAACAATATACCATTTAAACAGAAATCTATTTATAGGAAATCTATTGTAATAAACTCTGGTTTTATGTTTTGGATCACATAGGAATAAGAGAAAAAAATCAGAGTCAGGTAAATTGTTATTGTTCATAGAACTTGCTGCCTCTGAACCAAGAATTACATTAAATTGTGCTAAAGCAAAAAACTCAATAATAAACTACTTTCAAGTTTCAAGTAACCAATTGTTTGTTTTTCAAGTTTTATAAAGATAAAATGAATTTCAACACATTGAACAAAGACAGTTAAGCTGTTTTTCCCTAGCACATGTACAATGTAAAATGATATATTATTAGGTTTTAGGCTATTAAAAGGTTTGGGGTCAAAAAAACTTACTGTTTTTAAAACATCTTTTGCTGCACTTTCTAGGTTCCTGCAAATTGTATTTTATCCAAACATGAACACAATATTTGGTCTTTTCATTTATTTTACTTTATAAAGGAATGATGGAAACATAAATCTATCTATAAACATAACCTAAAACGTGACAATCCTACATATGACAGCCCAAAATTTAGTGACTGCATGGTTTTCCTGCTATTTCAAGTACATATAAAAACAATTACAGAGAATACATATATTTATAATTTATGCAAATTAAGGCAAATAATTATAATCTATTTTTAAAGTTAAGTATTTTAAAAATATTCATTTATAAAAATTCAGATAATGCTCAGGCTCAACATTTTAGTAGGAATGTTGGTTTGGTAGGTTTGGCCAACTTTTCTTCATTCACTTTAAAGATCAACATGAAATAATGAGGAATGCAGATTTTTCTTAAAAATATAAATACTTATAGTGATAATTTGAATCAGATGGCCCTCAAAAATAGTGCTTCACAAATCAAACTCAGCTTAATTGTCAGTAACTGTTACTATGCCCAGGGTTGGAATATTTCACTCTGCTTTTGGCTGCAAATTATACTTCTGTGGCTGGAAAAAATGTACTTCAATAGCACTGACTAGTTCATTCAGTTCCTTCTTCAGCTGCTCAGGATCACTGGAAAATAGGGATAAAAAATCCAGATTAAGGGATTATTCCAAAGCACATTTTAAATGCTCTCCCCCTTGACCAAGTGACACTGAAATTTAACCTTAAGAGGAGGACTAATCATGACAAACAGAACTCCGGTGACTCGCACATGGGAACACATCTGTTGACTCAGACAAAATCCCTCTTGAGACAATATGCATTATTTTCCCCAAAGGTTTTTTTCCAAGTTCTCATCTATAAACAAAATTATCCCTTACTCTTCTCATGAGAATTTTTATGAAACATAAATTTTGGCCTAGTATCTGTAAAAGATCTAAAAATTCTGTACCTGATAGTGTAGAGAAACTTTTGTGAGGTCAGTTGCCATTAAATCCTGCTTAGGTTTTACAAATGATATTTCTCCTAGAACAGGGGTGCCCAATCTATGGCGAGTTGTATAATTGTTTAATTATGTATTACAATGTAATAATAACAGAAATAAAGTGCACAATAAAGTCATGTGCTTGAATCATCCTGAAACTGTCTCCCCCACTCCCTAGTCTGTGGAAAAAGCATCTCCCATGAATATGGTCCCTGGTGCCAGAAGGGCTGGGGACCACTGCCCTAGAACACGCGTGCTCCTGATGCCGTCTGTCCTGAAACCACTGGCAGCTAAGCTGCACCTTGTCTGCGCGGCCTGCCCAGAATGGTCAGAGATGGGGAGTTTGCAGGTGGATGTGGCGGGTCAAACACCAGGAAATCAGATCTCCCCACTACCCCCTGAAGTTCTGTCATTATGAAACCATTTCCAGAACAAGAGTCACAACTACAGCTGGGCATGGTGGCTCACACCTGTAATCCTAGCACTCTGGGAGGCTGAGGAGGGAGGATTGTTCAAGATCAGGAGTCCAAGACCAGTCTGACCAAGAGCAAGACCCCGTCTCTACTAAAAATAGAAAGAAATTAGCTGGACAACTAAAAATATATAGAAACAATTAGCTGGGCATGGTGGCGCATGCCTGTAGTCCCAGCTACTTGGGAGGCTGAGGCAGGAGGATTGCTTGAGCCCACGAGTTTGAGGTTGTTCTGAGCTAGGCTGATGTCACAGCACTCTAGCCTGGGCAACAGAGCCAGACTCTGTCTCAAAAAAAAAAAAGAAAGTCACAACTAAAGTATATACAAGAATCTAAGGAGATAGATCCCTATAAGAAAATCCCTATAAGAAAAAGTTTTCAAGGATGTAGGAAACACTAATTTATATGCGAATATGAATAACTGGAAGGTAAATAATGCCTAAAACTGATTTCCAGTTAAACAGGTTTGCAGCAGCTTATGTAACCTAGTGTGAGTTACTATAATTACTTAATACTGAAAAGCTGAATTTAAAAAACTAAATCCTTCATACTTTCCATCACTTCATACTCTATCTTTAATATGCAAAGTTTATCTTAATGGAAGTGGCAATTCCTATAATTAGTGAAGATCATTTTTACACTGTACTAGCAAACAGTACAACTGAACAATCCATTTTATTCCAGACATTAATTCTGGTTCTACTACTTACTAGCTGTGCGCCCTTAGGCAAATGGATTAGCCTCTCTAAGGCCCAGATTCCTCATTTGTAAAATTGGGATAAAGACTTTACCATCTCAAGAGAGGTGTTGTACACATTGAGATAAATCATAGAAAGCAATTAGCACAGACCTGCCCCAAAGACCTCAATAAATATAACTGTCATTACAACTATTTCTATCCCTATCGGCAACATATAAAATAATTACGCTTCATAAATATATATGAATTATATCAGTCTTTTTTTCCTTTTCCATAAATATGCTCTGAAGAAAACAACAGTTCTCAGGAAGACATGTTAGCTAATAATTATTTTTTAAAAACATATACTTAAAACTAAAATTCAGTGATTTACTAACTTATTTTGCAAATTTGTTTTTTATCATGTATGTATACTATGATTCATTTATAAATTGATATGTTTCTGACACTATATTTCTTATGTGTAAAAAAACAAATCAGTACTACTGTGTAAGATTTAAGGGTACGATAATACCTAAAACCATAATTTTGTCTTACAAGTCTGCATACTAATTGGTAATTGTTTCATTTCTTAAATTACAGTTTGAGAATATTTCGTAACATTTTAAACCACAAAATACAGCCTATGATAATTTAAGCTAGGGTTACGAATCTCTGTTTCGGAAAAATCTAAATCTAGATAGAACTCTTTATAGAAATGAATAGCAAAGTATCATGTATAATAAGGCACTCATTTTTCTCCAACTATCTTGAAAAACCATTTAAGCTAAATAACAGCTAAATGCAATGCAGTGTTCTTGATTTGATTATGGATTGGGAGAAAAAGCTATTTTGGGGATTTGGGGGCAAGTTTGAATCTATGTGGCAATTTGGCTAAGCTATAGTCCCCAGTCAGTCAAACACTAATCTTAATGTTCATGTGAAGGTATTTTGTAGATGTTGTTAATGTCTATAATCAGTTGACTTTAAGGGAAGGAGATTATTCTAGACCATTGGATGGGCTAGATTCTAGTTGATAGGCGTTAGGAGCAGAACTGAGGCTTTCCTGAAGAATCCCACCTGCAAACTGCAACTCAACCCATGCCTGAGAATTCCAGGCTGCCTGGAATTCCCGGACAGCCTGCCCTGTGGATTTTAGATTTGCCGAGCCAGTCCCCACAATCAATTGTGCAAGCCAATTTCTCGCAATACATCCCTTAATAAATCTAGCCCATTGGTTCTGTTGGTCTGTTGGAACCCTGCCTGATACAATTATCCAACAGCATTAAGATATTAAGAGAGTGTCTTTGTTTACAGGAGATGAATACTGAAATATTAGGAGTGAAGCATCATGAGGTCTTTCAAATGGTTCAGAAAAAAACCTCACACATCCTATCTGCAATCATAAATGGGAATAGCATTTCAATGAATATAATAAAAACACAATGTTTCAAAGTTTTTTCAGCAATTTATAAAATAATATTTGAATTTAAGTCCCCTTAACGAGCCAAGTAAAAAATTTAAATACCACAGAACATTAAACATTAAATAGTGTTATTATTATAAAGGAAAATTTTCTGAAATGTTAGATTTATTTTCACAGGGTAATAAAAAGGACAAAGATACAGATAAAATAGATCCTTAAGTTGGACCAATATGTATTTGTTTTTAAAAGAATGAAACAAATATGAAAATACTAAGTGAAAATGAGAATTATAAAGAAATGTCTATGGAAAACCATATTCAATATAGTAGCAAATAGCCTATTATTTAGTGCACATAGAAATATGCTTGCATAATATTTTAATAAAATGTTGGATACTTAGGAAATGAGCTGTTTTATATGTTTACTTAGTAGCTGGGTTTTTTGCCCCTTAAGGACAATAAGGTTTTCTCTCTCTTTTTTTTTTTTTTTTTGAGACAGAGTCTCGCTTTCTTGCCTAGGCTAGAGTGAGTGCCGTGGCGTCAGCCTAGCTCACAGCAACCTCAAACTCCTGGGCTCAAGCAATCCTGCTGCCTCAGCCTCCCAAGTAGCTGGGACTACAGGCACAAGCCACCATGCCCGGCTGATTTTTATATATATATATATATATATATTAGTTGGCCAATTAATTTCTTTCTATTTTTATGGTAGAGACGGGGTCTCGCTCAGGCTGGTTTTGAACTCCTGGCCTTGAGCAATCCGCCCGCCTCGGCCTCCCAGAGTGCTAGGATTACAGGCGTGAGCCACCGCGCCCGGCCTTCTTTTTTTTTTTTTTTGAGACAGAGTCTCACTTTGTTGCCCAGGCTAGAGTGAGTGCTGTGGCATCAGCCTAGCTCACAGCAACCTCAATCTCCTGGGCTCAAGCGATCCTCCTGCCTCAGCCTCCCGGGTAGCTGGGACTACAGGCATGCACCACCATGCCCAGCTCATTTATTTCTATTTATAGTAGAGATGGGGTCTCCCTCTTGCTCAGGTTGGTTTTGAATTCCTGACCTCGAGCAATCCGCCCGCGTCGGCCTCCCAGAGAGCTAGGATTACAGGCGGACAAAAAGGTTTTGAATGGGAATCCATAGCAAAATATTTAATATATTACATAGTCCCATGACTTCTTAAATGTATTTTTATTGAACATCTTGATGTTTGAGAGCCATAATCATGACTTTCACTATTAGACTGGAGCTATCATTCAGAAGGAAAGATTCAAGGCACATTTGGGTGTGGAATGCTATTTCCCTTCTGATAAACTCCTGGAATGGTGAACTTTCTAAGTTATATGTACATGTGACATAGTTTTGTTTTGCTTTAGTATTTCCTTCTTTGCTATCAGCAATCACTTCTTGCCTAAGGAGAGTCTAACTATAGCAATTCCTTCCCCATTCCTTTCATTTGCTACATTTAATCTGCTACTAGTCTGGCAATTCCTCTGCTTTTATTCCCACATATTGCAAATTTGATTCAGAAGCCTGGAAAAACTTTTCTTTTTTTCATTTAAAAAAAAATTTTTTTTAGAGATGAGGTCTCACTCTGTCGCCCAGGCTGGAGTGCAGTGGTGTGATCATAGCTCACTGCAACCTCCAACTCCTGGACTCAGGTAATCCTCCCACCTCAGCCTTTCGAGTAGCTAGGACTACAGGTGGCCACCATGCCCAGCTAATTTTTTAAATTATTATTTTGTAGAGACAGGGTTTTGCTATATTGCCCAGGCTGGTCTCAAACTCCCGGGCTCAAGAGATTCTCCCACCTTGCCGTTTCAAAGTCCTGGGATTACAGGAATGGGTCACTGTGCCTGCCCTGGAAAAAGTTTTCTATGAGCAAAGCTGTTGTTTGTCTTTGTAGTCAAAATGACCTAGACTGGTGCTGTCTGCCATGGCACCGATTCGCCACATGTGGCTACTAGACACTTGGAATGTGGTGGCTAGTGCCACTGAGGAATTGAATTTTTAATTTTCGAACTCCTGACCTCGAGCAATCCGCCCGCCTCGGCCTCCCAGAGTGCTAGGATTACAGGCGTGAGCCACCGCGCCCGGCCTGAATTTTTAATTTTGTTCTACTTTAGTTAATTAAAATTTAAAAACTGACATTTGATTCAGTTATTAGAAAACTTAAATACTTTTGGAACAACTTGGGTATCAAAACTTACTTTTTCTACTCAAAATGTTATGAAATCTAAATACAGATAAAGTATTTCTAATAAAAGTTTAGCATTCAAATTGCGATATGCTGTAATACTGAATGGATTTGGGGGACTTAGAAGTCTTTCCTTCTGTGGAAAAAAGAATGTAAAACATCTCACTAATAATTTTTACATGGATTACATGTTGTAATGATAATATTTTAGATAAACTAGGTTAAATATATTATTGAAATTAATTTCACCTGTTTCTTTTCATGCTTAAAATGTGACAAGTAGAAAATCTAAAATTGCATCTGTGACTTGCATTTTATTTCTCTTGGACAACACTGCCTTAATTCATCTTTAGGAAACTTTTCCTGATTTACACCTGTATTCTAAATAAGGAAGTACAGGTGGACTGAGCGTCAGACGGGGCAGCTGGGTGTGCGACATCACGTCTACACGTGCTAAGTACATGCACTGAGGGTGTTAAAGTTCAAAATGTTAAGGCTGTTGGACGGTGACCAGCTCAAACTCTTTACCAAGGTCACACAAACATGACCCTGGGGCTATTAATACCAGCCCCTCAGCTCACTGGCAGCAAGTCGTCTTTCTGCTGAGGTTCCTTACTCTCCCTGGGACCTAGCACAAGCCTATAGACAAGCGGTGCTCAAAGATATTTGCTGAATGTATATGGAATGGATTTTACTTTACTTTATCAGAGACATGGAAAGACAGCAGTTTGAGAAAAAGAAAAACTCACTGATGCTAGCCACCAATGAAAAGTATTTAGAAAAAGGAAGTTTTATTGCTATTACTTAAATTAGGGATGAAATTTTCCTATACAAAGAAAGTTAGGACAGAAGTAAGTAATTAAGGAAGAACTAAGCACTCTTATCCTTGGACACTCACAGCAGCTGTTAATATCACAATATTGTTGCAGGTTCTGAAACAGTATTTCTAATTAAACTCTATATTGGAAAGATGAAACATTTTACTTAGCATTTGAATAACCAGTTAGACGTTTGAGGAATAAAAATCCTACCAGCTGCCGTTCACATCGTACCTGTTTCCAGGAGGGGCACACAGCTCTGCATAGTATTTGATTTTGGGCTCTGTCCCGCTGGTCCGCATGGTGGCCACGCCTCCATTAGCAAAGGTAAAGGTGATCATTTGGCTGCTTTTACTAGTAGGAAGAACCTAGGAATTAATTTACACATATTATAAATCTTTTTTTTTATATTATAAATCTTAATAGTAACATATACTCTTCTGGCCTAACTAATATTTTCCCTTGCATAAACAAGAAAATAAATGCCAAACAAATATATTGGTTAGGAAAGAACATTTTTGAGGAAATCAGAAAATGTACTCCATACAAATGGAACACGAAGTGATACTGCTAATTTAAAAAAATGTGGCATGTATACACACAGTGAAATACTATTCAGCCTAAAAAAGTAGGGAAGTCCTGTCATCTGTGACAACATAGATGAACTTGGAGAACATTACACTGGGGGAGATGAGCCGGACACAGATCTCACTCACACATGGAACTGGAAAGAGTCACAGCCTTAGAAGCAGGCATAGCATGATGCTTGCCAGGGGCTGGGGAGGAGGGGCAGGGCAGCTGGACAGATGTTGGGGACAAAGTTTTGGTTAGATAAGTTAGGAGGAATAAGTTCAAGAGATCTCTTGTACAACATGGTGACTATAGTTAATAACAATGTATTGTATACTTAAATATTGCTAGAAGAGTAGATTCTAAGTGCTCTTACTACAAATAAATGAAAAGCATGTGAGGTAATGCACATATTGCCTTCAGTTAATCATCACAATGTATACATATTTACATATGCATATATAGATACAATTTTTACTTGTCAATTAATATAACTAAATTAATTAAAAAATGAAAATTAAGTAACTTTGTATACTGGCTTTTACCTTCCTAGTTCTATTAAAGTTACTTAAAGTTTTATTAAGAATGAAACACATCATTTCACAAGAAATTAACTTAAATAGACTAATAATATACTAATGAATACACCCAAACTAGATCATATTTCACTGTTACAAAATGAAATTTTGCAAAACAAAAAAGTCCATAGAGTTTTTTTTTTAAGATAAAGCTTTTGGCAGGTGTATTTGTAGTTGACAGCTCCCAAAACTCCACTAAAATTACAGAAGTATTTAAAAAAGCATAAACACAAGGGCAAAGAGGCAAAGAAAAAATAGCAGTCGATGGGACTGCCAACCAACCGTGCAAGTCAGGAAACAGACGGCGGATCAGAACGTCTGACGGGACACAAGACAAGGAAATGCGAGTGTCTGCAGAAGGAGACACCGACAAGAACCAGGACAGTGTGCTCTGCAGAATCCGGCCAGGCTCAGGAGCCAGGGCAGCAGGGGCAGGTGTGAGGCAGGGGTGGAGGCAGGAGCATCGTTTGAAAGAAGCTGTCAGAGCCTCCCAGATGCTCGCTGCAGCCCATGCAGCCAGGAAACCACCTCTTCTCTGTCTCTGCAGAAGGTAGTTTATTCTCTGGAGACTGAACCACCGGGAAGGCTCAGGAGCTAGGGACATAAGGCACCATGGAGGGCAGGTCTGGTGACAGAGGGATCAAGTGAAAGCCCCCAGGATAAGAGACCCCAGCTGTCCCTCCCATGCTTCCGGGGCTTGGCAGCTCAGCTCGTAGCCCCTGCACTCTATTAAGGCCAAGCGCCTCCAGAGAAACCCCTCCAGCGGGGCCCATTAAAAAGTTGACTTGCTGCCCAACACCCCGAGTGAAGCGAGTCATTTGGCCTGCGTGTGTACACAGAGCCACAGGCACACAGTTTTCGATCCGCTCTTAAGTGTCCAAAGGACAATCAAGGATCACCAGACTTTTGGAAAAGACGTTAGATAAAATACAAAGTCCAGAACAAATTAAAAAAAAAAATTGAAGGAAATAAAGAGAATATAGGAGAAAAAGATCTATATTTTTAAAAGCTGTAATTAATATCTTTAGAGAGAAATTGTGTACATAAAAAAAGAATTGGACACTATTTTTAATAAATTAGAGAGTAAGAACTGAAATAGCCAAGAGTTACTGAAAGTTAAAGTTGAGGGAATCTCCCAGAAACAGCACAGGGGCAGGGCTGGACGCCAGGAAAGAGGCGCAGCAGGCCCGCTCTGACGCCGGCGCCCGACCAGGAACTACTTAGGAGTGGGAGGACAGAAAACACAGGGGAGGAGCTGCTTAAAAACCAATGAACTAGTCCCTTTTTGACACATAATCCAAAATCTCCTTAAAACTAAAACAAATAATTCTACAGACCAAGTGCACAGGAAAAAGTGAATAAAAAGAGACCCACACTACAGTGTTTTTGAACCTGAAGCTTAGAGGAAAGTTCCTAACTTTTCCCAGGGACAAAAATAAAACCCAGTTGCATAGAAAGGGCCGAACCAGTGTGGCATCCACACCCTCGCTCCCAGCACACGGCAGGCTTCACCTGTCTGCTGAATGAATGAATGAATGAATGACTGCAGCCCCACAGCCACACTGGAAAGCAAACAATAATGGAGCAAAGCTTTCAAAGCCGCGAGGCAGTGAAGTGCGAGGGTACAACAAGGCATTTTCAAACCTAATGCTTCCAAAATTTTGCCTCCCACTCGCTCTTCCTCAGAAAGCTTCTCGAGGATGTGATCGAGGAAAATGAATACAGAAGGAGTAAGCAAGCCTGGGGTCTAGGAGCAAGGGGCTCAAGCCTGGAGAGGACAGTCCCAGAATGACAGCCGGCCTGGCCCAGACAGAGGGCCCGGGAGGGAGGGCCCGGGAGGGAGGCCCGGGAGGGAGGCCGCTGGAAACAGCCACGGGGAAAACCCCACTGAGAGGTTTTTGAAGGAAAATCTAGCGACAGTCACATAGAAATCGAGGCAAACAAGAGAACAAAGCAACTGTTAATTACAAGAAATGTAAGTCTTTATACACATTAGGGAAACCTAATCAAAATGCAGCACTTGGCTGGGCGGGCGGGGACAATCACTAGTCAAAACAATACGGCGCGGGATCCCACCCAACCACAGGCTGCGGCGTGTGTGTTGTGAGGACAGGGGAAGGGGGCATCGCACGTGGGAAGCGTAAGAGCTAAATCCTTATCTCAGTGATAGAAAATCGATCAATCGTAACACGGATAAGTCAAAGCATCACCATAAAAGCACATTATTTAGGAATCTGGCCGTAAACACTGGAGAAACGAGCGAGAAGGCGCTGTCTGGGCGACATGGCAGCGAGGCGGCAGAAGGAGGGGCTGCCGTGTTTCATCACAATTCTCTTAAATACGATTTATCTTTTAAAAATACACTGGGGGGAAATGACAGTTAAAAACGTAGAAAGGTAAATAGCAAAGAACACGTCTAACCTCTCATAAAGATATTCATGCTCTGCTCTCCCCACCCCTAGCCATGGCTGGCAATTCTCTTCTGCCATCTTTGGGCCTTCTTTTGACTCCCACGAGGGTCCACCAGGGGTGAGGAATGCAAACTCATGCTTTACAGACCCCATACTTTCAGAGTACAGGGGAAAACTAACTGGAAGCAAACAGGCTCTCAAAGTGAGGACCAGGGGCCTGAGCATCACCTGGGAACTTGTTAGAAATGCAAATTCTTGGCCCCATGCCAGACACGCTCAATTAGAAACTCCCAGGCCGGAGCCAGCACTCTGTCTAACCAGCCTGCCAGGGACTGACGCGCCCTCAAAAGCGGGTACTGCTCATGCGGATAAAGAACTGGATCCTGAGTCAAAAGACCCAGATTCTTCCTGGACCACAGACAAGTTCTACACTTCTGTGTACTGATCTCCTAAGGTGTGAAACGGCAGTGTTGGCTTAGGTGACGAGTAAGATCTCTTTTAGTTCTAGCCCATGATTTTTAGCTTTCCATATATTTCTATAGCTTATTTACAGTCATGCCTAAATGCCTAAGATCAGCTTCAATTAATTATATGAGTCAATAAGTTAATCTACTCAAATGATTAAAAAAAAAGAAAATAGAAAAAGAGGTTTAGCTGATAAACGTAAACATTACTTACAGCTTTTTTATCAGGTTGGCTATCGTCATAGCCGGTTGTAAGGTCCCTAATGGAAGAAATTTCAAATTTGCCACAAGTTTTTGGATAATTATTTTTTCCATCATAGTTTCTGAGGTCTTCAAATAATTTTTTAATGATGTCTTGATCATGGCAGATAAAATAGGAAGCTTTGGTAATATGGTAGCCATACCTGTAAAAAAAGTGCAAATCCATGCAAACTGAGGAACAAAATAATTCCACACAGTGGACATAGGACATGCGCATCAACCAGTATGCTCTAAAAACATGAAACAAATAATCATAACTAACTTCAAAGGAATAATTCAGCACTAAAAAAGAGGTCCGGCTACCCCAGGGACCATGAAACGACAGCCTGGCCTTCGGCCTGCATTTGTAAGTACAGCCCGCACTCCCTCGCTGGCTTTCTGTAGTCTCTGGAAGCTTCTGTATTACACAGGCAGACTTGAGTAATTGCTACAAAGACTGAGCAGATATATTATGAATACATTTCATCTTTTTTGAGATCGGTCACTTAACGACTAACTTCATTAGTCATTTCTGCGACTAATGTTCTTATTTGTTAAGAATGAATGCAATCACAAATGGCAATCACTTAATAAGTATAACCATAATAAGTGTATCAGAAGGAAAAGGTAATCTCTTAGTCATCATAAAAAATAGACTTCAATCCTCCAGAAACATCACATGTAATGTAAATATCAAGTCTTTATTCATTATATGGGGAAGCAGATGTTGATAAAGGGAAAGAAAAGAGTTTTATGAAATATTACCCATTATGTGCTCAATACTAGTTCTATTTACATTGATTGTTATTATACAGGGAAGTCTTTTGCTGTGTACATAACAATTTTGATAAAAATAAAATGCTTGACCTTTCTAGGTACAAAAAAAAAAAAAATAGACTTCATCACCAAAGAGCATTAGAAAGAATAGTAGTACCTCATGCACAAGAACATAATAGAACACATAAAAATAAGACTTTAATCAAACAGTCAACAGCAACTTACTCCACATAGATGGCCTCCAGCTGCTGAGACAAAGACAAATTCTTGCTTGCGAGAAAGCTAGCCAGCTCTGCGCTTATGGCAGCGGCACTGACGCCATCCTTGTCCAGAACAAAAGGGCAGCACATGTATCCTGCAGAAACACACGTCACCCCCCAGGAGTGGGTTCCTGTACAGTCCCGTGTCTAGCCACATACGTGTGTGCGTGCTGGCCACCGCAGATCAGAGGCTGCACGCTGCTGAGTGCACGCATGTTCCTCACTTATCATCACAGATTAAAGAATGTGGCCCAGTGCCAGGCACATAGCAGGCTTTCAAGAAGTGTTTGTTGAAGAACCTGTGAGGAAGGTTTCCACTCCTGGGCCAGTGGCGCTCATTCACGAGATTTGCTGCAAGTCCCTCCAGCTCACATGAAATTGTTTCCAGTTGTTCTAGTCAACATATATTGTTCTCTGAATCCCAATATCCTTCCTAGTTACAGTATTCATTTTGACACCTGGCCTCTTACACCCTTGTGTGGTTACTAACTAGATCTATAAAGCTGCTGTAGGCTAAGGTCAGTGCCATCCGTTTCTTTCAGAGTCGCTGAGTAACAGATATGCAATTGATATTTGACAAACGAATGTAAGAAAAGTTTTTTATTAAAAACTAAAAACCTATAGAGACAAGTCTGCCAAATCTGACAACAAAGGAGCAAAAGCTGAGCTATTACACTTTATTAAATTAGTTAAATCATGTGTGTATGTTGGCGCTGCAGGGAATGTGCAGACGAATATGTTAACAAACAAACTTAATGCATGTTAGTTTTTACTAAAGTAATAGCTAAATTTTTGGCACAAACATGAATTTCAAATTTTTATTGTGAGCTCTCCTTTCTGTCCATGTGCAGAGACAGTGTAAGTCAAGGGCTATTCAGTCATTCTGGCTGGACTTGGCGTCACTGTCAACTGGACAAAGGGTTCTTGCGTTAATGGCTTGATTATTTGTAAGATACTCCTTTTTGCTGAAAAATATCTGAGATACTAATTTTGGAGCAGGACAGTTCAACGGTCAACCTGAGCACTACAAAAGCAAAGTAAATTGTGTGTTCCTGTTTCACTATGGATATTTTAAACCCAAATCCAAACCTTTTTCTCATTTACTTACATTCTATATTAACTGATTTTATGATCCTCATTATCACATCTTACCAATAGCTTCTTCAAATGCAAATAAGACAGTTTTCCCCTGGTCTATTAGCTGTTTGGCTCTGTTTCCCATCCACTTAAAGCCAGTTAATGTTTCCTGAAGGGATAATCCAAAAGAACAAGACATGCCTTAGATTTTCTGCAGAGCAAAAGAAAGCAAAATGAGCAAGTCCCACAAATACCTTACCTCGAAATGAAAGCCCTCCTTTAAGGCAATGGCCCGCAGGATTTTGGAGGAGACAGTGCTGGACAACATGTATGTGTCTCTGAGGGCGTCGCGATCCTGGTTCTTTTCTTTCCAAGAAGTAAAGAGCCACCAACCCAGAAGGGCCCCCAGCTCATTGCCTGAAAACACTCTCCAGTCACCCCTGAAAGGAAAACAAGCTATTCATTTCCGGGATCTTAAGGAAGACACTAGAAGTCACTGGAATAGGACAATTAAGCAATGGAGTCTTTAAGTATTTTCTGCCAGTCTGTTCTGTTATTCATCATCTTTAAATAATCGGTTACGACAGTAACTGCCACTTCATAAACACCGCGTGGATACTGCGTACCACCCAGTCTGCCTGGACACACGCCCTGCGTGAAGGCCCTAATGTTGTAGGGTCATACTTGTTTTTAAAGTATGTCAGTGATGACACATAATGCTTTTATTTTAATCTTTGGCAAAAGCTTTGGTTTTAAACATAATAGAAATATGCTGGCAAGACCCCCCTCGTGTATAAAATAAGTTTTGATCTTTCTACTTTTGGACTGGTCACTATTGCTGATTTTGAGAGGTGACAGCTTAGCATTCCTTAAGATCACACTCCGCCCTAACGCGGTCAGAACACCAAAGAGTAGACATGTGATTTCTGTTCCTCTCTGTGGTCCAGGCGACTAGCAGTAAATGTCACATACCATCACGTATCCCCTGGGCCTAACTTTCTAAACACTGATATAGAATTGAACCTATTTTATCATAATCTAAAACCCTATCCCTTCAGCAGTACCCCACTGCCCCCAAAACATCATATAGGCTGTTTGACACCCAAAGTTCCTTGGACCCTGCCTATCTTTCAATTTTTTCTCCCACTTACTTACTTTCCTTTGTACAATCTCTATGGTCAGACTTATCTTAAATACTGTGCCAGTACCCACAGGCATTCCTTTCTGGTCTGTCCAAACTAAATTCAGCCATTCCTTGAAGGTTCAGCTCCTTACCAAACCCATCAGCAAATACTCAGCTGCAAGGCCAGCACCAAAGTACTCTGCCCTCAAGCAGGCACTGGTACGCCACTATGACACATTCGATTATGAATCTTTTTCTTCCTCTTCCTCCCTGCATCCCTCTACATTATAAATTAAGGGAAGATCACAAACAGGAACTTCAATCCCAAACACATACTGGGTTGTCTACTCCACACTATGCCTGCCAACATGCGACGCCCCGCCTCGCCCCGCTAGGCCGGCAGCTCACTCTGCACCAGGAGACTCCACAGAAGGTCCGGTGAGATGATCGTTTGCAAAATAAATGGGAAAGGTTTCCACATAGGTCCAGTGGCCCCAGGAACACTTTACTGCTTTCTATTTTCTGTAATGTAGGTAATCACGACTCATTTACCTGTCCTGCTTTTCTGCCACAGCAAGTCTATCAGCATCTGGGTCGTTCGCTAAAACGATTTTGGCCTTGGTCTTGTCAGCCAAAGCAAAAGATAAAGTCTGAAAAGAGTATGAAAATAAAAGATTACTTAAATCAAGAATCAAGCATATGGTAGTCTTTAAAAACAGTCAGTTCTGTAACAATTAAAAGAGTACTTTCCCCAAATGAAGGCTGAATTTTATTTCTGGAGCCGGTCTTGGTCGGTCAAACATTACCTTCCTAAGTTAGAGATCAGATAATGGGAGCATCCGTGTGTGGCCCAAAGCTGCCCGAGTGACCCGCTGCACACAAGGCAGAGCGTGTGCGGCTGTGGTCAGCCGCACCAACAAACCAAATGACCAACGCTCTGAATACCGCTGCTACACCAACCTTTAAAATGCTACAGGTTTGTAACAATGTAAACAATACTTCTTCATATTAGAAAGATGACAGTTAAAGAATAAAAGTCATAATATGATAAAACTCCATTCTATTACTGTTTTCTTTTTTTTTTGGCATTAAGGGAGTACAGTAAATTAAACTAAAATTACATTAAATTAATTAAATTTAAAGCAGCATTTAGATTTCAGCTCTCAGATCCCGATGCTAGGATATCTAATTTGAAAGATCTTTAAGAAGTTAATGACTAACAAATATACATATTTCCAGCGATGAAATCAGTTATTCTTCAGCACCATGAAAACACATAAAAGCATATTTTATTTGACAGTAATAGCTTTGAATATAAAAGGCAGATTTTAGAATCTTAAAAAAAGGTGGTTACCAAGACGCCTTTACCCTCTTCGGGATTCGGGTATTTCACCGTCGGAAACTCCGGATCGGGATCTTTCTGTTCGGCGACAGCCTCAGGAGGAGCCAGGTCAAAGGCCTCGAAGGCCGAGCGCACGAAGGCGTGCCCCACCCCGTGGACAGACGTGTGCACAAACTTCATCCGGGTCTCCTTGTTCACACTCCTAGAATCAGGCACACCATGGAAATGATAAAAGGCATAAATACGCCTCTCGCAACTGGAAGGGTTGCAGAATGTCAAGGAGCCTGAGTCATAAGAATGTAAGAAACTGATGTAATAAGAATGTACAACTGAATATGTTTCCAATTCCATTAAAAAAAAATCCACTCTCTCTCAAATATACACATCCCCCCAACATACTCAAGTTTTACATTCTACTCTGTGGTTATTTTCAGCAGATCTGATTATTTACAGATTCTCTTTTATGGAGCAGCTTTCACGTCTAGAGCGGGAGACGGCGGAGAACCGCAGGCTGCGGCCCCAGCTCGCTCGCGCGGCTGCCTGCCAGAGCCGGACGGTGCCAGCCCCAGCGCTCCGCATGTCCCAGCTTCGGAAATGACTCTCAGTATAAAAAATAAAACTTTTCTTTGCCAAGTAACAATCCTGTTTGGCAAAGTACCATGATCTAGGGACTTAATGTAGAATAACAATAAACATCAAAATTGAAAGTAGTTATAGAAAAGTAAACATAAGATTTTTAAAACTTCCAATGCTCTAACTGCTAGAATCTTAGGTTATTATCCATTTCTTTTGGAAATGAATAAACAAACAAGGTCTTTTCTAAGAGAATAGTGTTTTAAAACAAACATACCCTTATGTGCAAGATCAGGGAGGAAAATTTGAAAGAAAACCTCTCAGATATTAAAATATCTTATAAAGCTACGATAATTAAAACAGCTTGGTACTAGATATAAAAAGGCATACAAAAGGAACATAAGAGAGAGCTCAGAAGCTGACCCAATTTGAAACGGGAAATGCACATTGGAAGCAGTAAAGCTCAGTGGTCAACACGCTCTGGAACCAGCGGCAAACTTAAGCCTCGGAGCTCTGCCGCCCACACGCGGCGCGACTGATGCCTGTTTACTGAATCACACTCGGCTGCAGTTTTCTCATCTACAAAATGGTAAGGTACCAGAACTTACCCTCAGCATTATCATGAGGATTAAAATGAAACTGTATGTGAAGAGCCTCTAGCAATTATCTCATATATAATATAATAAGCACTTGATTAATGTTAGAAACAGTTTCATAAAGGTATCATATCCAATTAGCCAAAAAAGAGATAGATTTTTCAATTTATTGTATTGGTACACTAGCAAACCTTTTAGAAAAAGCCAAATCTGCTTTCCTACTTTGCACTCCATACAAATTAAAAATTACCGATGACTCGAAAGATTGAAATATTACAAAATGTAAACATGAAAGTTTTAGAAAAAACATGGGTAATTTAAAATAAATAACTTTGGTCTAGAGCAGGGGTCCTCAAACTTTTTAAACAGGGGGCCAGTTCACTGTCCCTCAGACCGTTGGAGGGCCAGACTATAGTTTAAAAAAAACTATGAACAAATTCCTATGCACACTGCACATATCTTATTTTGAAGTAAAAAAACAAATGGGCAAAAACACCCGCATGTGGCCCTCGGGCCATAGTTTGAGGATGCCTGGTCTAGAGAAAGTCTTCCTGAGTATGGCATAAAACCCAGAAGCCATAATTAAAAGATTAATAAATATTATCAAACTTTTAAAAACAGTTCACCAAAGATTTCAATAAAAAATTCCAAAGGTGGCTGGGCATGATGGTTCATGCTTATAATCCTAGCATTATGGAAGGCAAAGGCAGGAGAATTGCTTGAGGTCAGGAGTTCGAGACCAGATTGAGCAAGAGCAAGACACTATCTCTACTAAAAACAGAAAAAGTTAGCTAGGTGTGGTGGCACATGCCTGTAGTCCCAGCTACTTGGCAGGCTGAGGCAGGAGTATTGCTTGAGCCCAGGAGTTTGAGGTTGCTGTGAGCTAGGCTGACGCCACGGCACTCTAGCCCCAGGCATCAGAGCAAGACTCCGTCTCATAAAAAAAAAAAAAAAAAAAAATTCAAAAGGTAACAAGAAAAGGGAAAACATTTTAAAATAAATAAATTTAATTAGAAAAATATAGTTTTCTACATAAAGAAGTTCTAGAAATACAAAAAAAGATGAGTCAGGTGTGGTAGTTCATGCCTGTAATCCCAACACTTTGGGATTGCTTGAGCCCAGGAGTTCAAGACCAGCCTGGGCAACCTAGTGAGTCACCATATCTGCAAAAAATAGAAAAAATTAGCCAGGCCTGCTGGTGCCCACCCATAGCCCTAGCTACTCAAGAGGTTGAGGCAGGAAGATTGCTTGAACCCAGGAGTTCAATGTTGCAATGAGCTATGATGATGCCAGAGTCTAGGTGACAGAGCCAGCTACCTGCTTTTGTGTTTACACTCCATCAGTGACGTATCATCTATGGATGTTTTCATAAAACAGCAGGGTTGAACAGCTGAGAAAGAATTCATGTGGCCCTCAAAGCCAAAAATATTTCCTGTGTGCCCCTTCAAGAAAAGTTTGCCAAACCCTAGTCTACAGCCTCTAAAATCAGATGCACTGTGTGCACCAATTCAAGAGAAAATGTCATGAAAATTGAAAGAATTTGGCTGAATCACATTAACTTAACTCATTTAAGGTCAGTGAAGACACAATCCATTTACCTGTGGAAACAGTATTTTGTAAGGTCTTCCAAGTAGTCTTTAGTGACAGAAGCACTGGGGTTGTGAAGAAGTGGACTGCCGTCAATTAAAGAGTCGCCCCACGCTTGCGGCCACGGCTCTAGATTGTCTTCAATAGCTTGAGAAATACCTTTATCGTGAGGAGAGATGATCTGAGCTCCATTATCCCAATAGACCTAGAGAACCCAGAACACATTCGAAAAGTTTAGAGTTAATGAAAATAAAGCATCCACTACCTACGCCTCCAAACAGTAAAGGCACAGGATTCCTATAGAAGGACATAAATGTGGAGAGAAAAATAAAAATACCTTATAACCATTATCCTGCTTTGGATTGTGAGAGGCAGTTATCATGATTCCAGCACAAAGTTTCAAATGTGACACTGTGTAGGGCTGTAACATAGCAAGAAATAAAAGCAGACAGTTTTTAACAAAAAATTAGATACATTTACAATGTCTATTGTGTGTTGTTTATGCCAACTTGTCCCCTCTCGATAAACACAGCACACAAATATCATCACGCGTCATCCGCCGCGGTGCCGCAGCCACCCAGCGCACTCTCGCTGCCCTTGAGCTGACGGCTGCTCACAGTCGCAGGGCGTGGGGCCCAACAAGAAAGGTGGGTCCTTTCCTAGGCGTCGTCTTCTCATCCTGTCTTCCACTTGCTAGGGCTAGAAAACCACTTCAAACAAAAAAACGGTCTAAGCTTCTATTCCAACCTTCTATTTTTGGTAGACAGGGACTCGCCCTGTCCCCGAGGCTGCAGTGCAGTAGCCCGATCATAGCTCACTGCAGCCTCGGACTCCTCGGCTCAAGCAACCCTCTGTCTCAGCCTCCCAAAGTGCTGAGATTACAGGTGCGAGCACCGTGTCCAGCCTCCATGTTCCGCTTGGAATAGGAGCTTATAAATTCCGTTTATTCCCTCCAACTGCTTCAACTTCTCCTCCTCTTTCTCACTTGCGTTTAAGGAAAAGGTTGAGAGGAAAGGAAACAGTGCTCTTACAGGCTGCGCATTTATCTCTCACTCCAGGGTTAAATATCCCTCCCTTAGTTGTGACTTAATTCCCATCGTCACAAGATGGCTGCCCACGATGGGGGGAGGGGCTGGAGTCCCCCCTACGGCTGCAAACGAGATCACTGCACACAGGCAACCTGACAGCAGAACCGCTGGTCCCCTCTAGCCACCCACCAAGAATCGCTGCAGTTTCCTGCCCCCTTGAAAGTTATGTCACATCTCCCAGATAACCTGGGGTAAAGGAAAGGGGAGGACCACTCCATAGTGTGGGGAATGATCATGAGACACTCATTTAATTCATGTCTGTTATAAAAATAATAGCTATTAATACTTGGTACGGAAGACAATCAGGATGCTAGAACACACTGCAATTTTTCCATCAAACAATGAAACTTGGCCAGGCACGGTGGCTCACGTCTGTAATCTCAGCGCTTTGGGAGGTTGAGACAGGAGGATGGCTTGAAGTTGGTCAGGAGTTTAAGACCAGCCTGGGCAATACAGTGAGACCCAGTCTCTATAAAAAAAAAAAATAGCCAGGTTCTATGGTGCACATCTATAGTCCCAGCTCCTTGGAGGGCTGAGACACAAGGATTGCTTGAGCCCAGTTTGAAGTTACAGTGAGGTGTAATTGTGCCACTGCATTCCAGCCAGGCTGACAGAGAGACACCCTGTTTCGAAAAACAAACAAAAAACCAACAACACTTGAACTACATTTGGACCTGACATAGAGTGTGTCCTGGGCTATTTACAATCTGGGAGGTGTTGCATCTACCTGCTGGTGCACTAGAAATAGCAAACACAAAACAAGTGGGACTGACTTCTGTATTGATACACTCTCGTTTCTACTTGACGCAAGTAACTGCATCCAAATCATTTGCTAAAATCATATATTCTTAGCATCTAGCCCAGCTCTTAAAAGTCTGACTACATCAAAGCAACAGCTTTTCTTTAGGTTCTGCTACATGAAGAATTTGATAAGATGTCTTACTCAGACATGCCAAGCATGCTCTCTGTATGAACCATGAATAGCATTTAGCATGGAACATTTGTATAAAAGGCAGGTGCAGCAATTTGTCAAAAATATTCATGATAAGACAGGATTTGAGGTGAATTCAGATTCAGACACAAGAAGTTTCCTAATTGTGACAGCTGGGAAAAATAACTACACATCAAAGTAAAAGACAAACAGACAAAACATCATTTTGCTAACTTGCTAAAATACTTTAGAATGCAAGCAAAAGGAAAATTGCACATTTAAAAAATCATTGCTGATGAATCAAAACTTGAATACTAAAGAAAACTCATAGGATGTGGGAGAAGCCTCCCTGGAGAGAGAAGAGAATGCCCAATTAATGCTGAGCTCTTCTGTCATTCAAATAGCCCAGCCCCAACAGCCCTAAAGACTGTAAAATTCAGCCAAGTCTCATCCCTGATCCCGTGACAGGAAATTATAAAAGGAAGCAGTTACTTACCACAAAGGGGGTCGGGGTTACATCGTTAAAGAGGTGCACAGGAACCCCCTGACTGATAAATGTGGTTGCAGCAAGTCGGGCAAACCTGGGAATACAGAGTGACAGGGAAGAAAGAGTCTAGATGTCAAGATCTCAGGTGACAGAAGAAGGAATGAATGCCCGACCCTTCCTTAGGTAGAACACAGCAGCCAGTATCAAGGACAACATTTATTCCAAATCTTTACATTGGCACAGGACATTTAAAGCTGGAGAACACTTAAAAGTAACCTCATTCCACCTCTTCTTTGTTTTACAGAAATGGGACTAAAGCCAAGAAAAGCCAGGCACCTTGCCCATGTCTGACAGCCAGTAAGCGGCTGGGCCAGGTCGCTCCCAGCCTCAGCTCGCCTGCCATCCAGCTCAGTAGCTCCAGCTGTGGTCACTCTGCCCCTGCCCCCTGAAGTGTCTGGAGACATTTTGGGTTGTCACACTGGGGAAAGGGGGAAGGTGCTACCGGCAGCTAGTGGGTAGAGGTCGGGGGTGCTGCTGCACGCCCACCCTACAATGCACAGGGCAGTCCCCACAACAAAGAATTATCCAGCCAGCGTGAAGTCACATGTCAATAGTGCAGAGGCTGACAAACCTGTATACACCGTGCAGACCAGCACTGGACTACAGATGGTTTTATTTGAAACATAGGACATATTGGTGTGCATGTGCGTAAACACACACACACACACACACACACACACACACACACACATATCTTGGTTCCAATTAGCCTTTAAAAGAAAACTTGAACCTTTGACATTTTTCTCAGCTTCCACTGCAACTGGCATCAAATCTGTCTTCATGCATGGTGTAAGATACTTTACCACAAACGAGCAATTTACTTAGAATGAGCAGTGTGCCATTACTGGATTAAACAATCAGATCATTCATTCTCCCTCGAAACCTTTCTTGAGCACCAGCTTCATCAACACCATCGTAGGGGCGGGCTGGGGCAGAGGGGAGACCTCCGTGCCCATGCACACAAACACACGCACGCGCAGCTACAAACGTGCACGGAAATTATTCAGTGTGTTCTCTTCATATGCTTAACAGTTACTGCTTACGTTCCCCACGACATATTTAAAATGGGAAGATTAAAGAACTATAAACATCACATCTGTAATCCTAGCACTCTGGGAGGCCAAGATAGGAGGATTGCTTGAGCTCAGAAGTTCAAGACCAGCCTGAGCAAGAGTGAGACCCTGGCTCTACTAAAAATAAAAAGAAATTAGCTGGACAACTAAAAAATATATACATTTAAAAAAAATTAGCCGGGCATGGTGGCGCATGCCTGTAGTCCCAGCTACTCGGGAGGCTGAGGCAGGAGGATCACTTGAGCCCAGGAGTTTGAGGTTGCTGTGAGCTAGGCGATGCCACGGCACTCTAGCCCGGGCAACAGAGTGAGACTCTGTCTCAAAAAAAACAAAAACAAAAAACTAACAAACATTTCTTTAGGTAAAATTATGGAACTGGAATACTTTCAACCCT